CTCTGCAGTGCACGCTTGTGCATGCACGTGTGTCCCTGCTCTCTGCACACACATGAGTGTGCATGTGTGTCCCTGTTCTCTGCAGTGCACACTTGTGCATGCACGTGTGTCCCTGTTCTCTGCACACACGAGTGTGCATGCGTCCCCGCTCTCTGCAGTGCACGCTTGTGCATGCATGTGTGTCCCTGCTCTCTGCACACACACGAGTGTGCACGTGTGTCCCTGCTCTCTGCAGTGCACGCTTGTGCATGCACGTGTGTCCCTGCTCTCTGCACACACACACACGAGTGTGCACGTGTGTCCCTGCTCTCTGCAGTGCACGCTTGTGCATGCACGTGTGTCCCTGCTCTCTGCACACACACACAAAGTGTGCACGTGTGTCCCTGCTCTCTGCAGGGCATGCTTGTGCATGCACACGTGTCCCTTGTCTCTGCACACGTGTGAGTGTGCATGCGTCCCTGCTCTCTGCTGTGCACACTTGTGCATGCATGTGTGTCCCTGCTCTCTGCACACACACGAGTGTGCACGTGTGTCCCTGCTCTCTGCAGGGCACGCTTGTGCATGCACGTGTGTCCCTGCTCTCTGCACACACACACAAAGTGTGCACGTGTGTCCCTGCTCTCTGCAGGGCATGCTTGTGCATGCACACGTGTCCCTTGTCTCTGCACACGTGTGAGTGTGCATGCGTCCCTGCTCTCTGCTGTGCACGCTTGTGCATGCACACTATTCCCTGCTCTCTGCAGTGCACATGCATCCCAGCTCTCTGCACACATGTGATCTTGCACATGTGTCCCTGCTTTCTGCAGTGCACATGTGAGTGTGCATGCATGTCCCTGCTCTTTGCAATGCACCCCATGCCTGCTCTCTGCATGTGCACTAACATGCATGTGTCCACTCTGCAATGCACATGCATCCTGGCTCTCTGAACACGTGTGAGCATGCATGCACACCCTCACTCTGCAATGCACACGTGTCCCAACTCCCTGTGCACGGGCGAGCGTGCCCACACATCCCTGCTGTCTGCAGTGCACAAACAACCTGCCTCTCTGCAACTTGTGAGCATGCACACGCATCCCACCTCTTTGCACGCATGTGAACGTGCAGGACGTCCTCCCTCTCTGCAATGTGCGTGCACCCCAGCTCCCCGCACACTCGTGAGCACGCCCAGGTGTCATCTCCGCAGTGCACCTGCACCCTGTCCCTCTGCACATGCACCCGTGTCCCCACTCTGTGCATGGGAAAACCCACCCGTGCGGCCCCGCTCCGCTCCCTGCTCCCTGCTCCGCGCGTCTCCGGCGC